ATTTCCTCCACATGTTCAGCTTATGCCGACGACATCAAGATTTACAATACTGTCGTAAATTCTGCTATGCTTCAACGAGATCTTGATATTGTTTGTCAATGGTCAGTCAGTTGGCTTTTACCCTTAAATCTAACTAAGTGTTGTGTCCTTCACCTCGGGAATCCGCGATTTACATACAAGATCTCTGACCACAACATCGTAGCAGTTTCCAGCCACACTGATCTGGGCGTTGTAGTCAACGATCGTCTTTCCTGGTCAGAGCATATTCACCACGTTACATCAAAAGCCAAGAAACTTCTATACATGCTGGAGAGGTCTTTCAAAGGATTCGATGTCAACACTTGCGCCTACATTTACAAGGCATTCGTGAGGCCAATTCTTGAATTCGCTGGCCCGGTATGGGACACTGTGCTTCTGCGCGATAGAAATCTCGTTGAATCAGTACAGCGTCGGGCTACTCGTATCCCTTTTGGAGCACGAAGACCAAGCTATGAAGATCGTCTTGAATTATTCAACCTGACCTCATTCTCTGAGCGAAGACTTCGTGGCGATCTTATAGTTACGTTCAGGATACTTCATGGTTTGATGGGCACCAACCTCATGCATCTATACCGTCTGTCGCGCAGCAATCTACGCGGACACAGCTTCAAACTGCATAAGGAGCCATTTAAAACAACAGTCCGACAGTGGTTTCTTCCCAACCGCATGTTCAACACCTGGAATAGTTTACCTGAAAGTGTGGTTGGTGCTACTTCAGTTAATAGCTTCAAAGTGCAGTATGATAGCTGGAGGAGTGTACAAAACTTTATAGCTATGAACTGTCTTTTTTTATTTTTTTCTATTTGATGTATTTGTGTTACGTGTCCGTACACTATATTTGCTGCATGAGCTTATAGTACTGTGTACTCTGCTCATCTCAATTATCATAATAATAATAATAAGAAGAAGAAGAATAAATACATAGATACAGAGTTACAGTGTCACCTTACTTCAAAACTTTTCAAGTGATCTTGATAGCGACATTACTTTTACAGGAAACTGTACACACATGTTGTGTACATACCCTATACCAGTGCACCGCGCACCTTTCACACATGGCAAATATTACATATTTCATCCTCGACGTTGGCGCTGGGGTCCCTTTGAAACGTTCCTCCGTTGCTTTATTAAAGTCGCCGCACAACCAGCAGCAACCCCAAAGCCTTAAGGCGTGTGTATACCAGGACAGAAGACGCATCGAGTGTCGGTAGAAAGAGGTGGCCATCAGTTGCTTTTGTACCCATTACATACACAGGGATATTATAATAGTCTCTCCCCTCTCAATCTTTGCAACCTCCAATTTTCGTCGGTTCTCTCCTGTAGGTGGCCTTTATGGGGCTGATAAACTACATATACCAGCTTGCCCTTTTACTATTAATATCATTACGGTATTGTATATCTCACCCTCTATTTTTGCTTAGTTGAGCTTCTGCCAACCCTGTTGCGTTTTCTGGATTATTTTTATCATTACGTTTTTTTTTGGATGTCCGGCGTCCATTCTACAGCAAACATACATCGCATCATGACATATGGGTTTGTACTGGGGACCAGAGTGCAACATGGCGAGTAAAATTAATTATCTCTGAGCTTCTTAGCTGGCACTATTTACTTGATATTTGGGAGATATTGCTCGCTGATGAGAACAACGCTTTGTTTTGTTTAAGACAACTTTGAAATACGAGTATAGGCGACGATGAATTACAGCTATCTTTACGGAATTTTTGATATTATGGCAGTACCTTCCACAGCTTTTTTTTTTGAACGCCATTTGGTTCATTCTGGTATGTATTCACAGAATAAGTTGAAAAATATAGGATCTCTTGGAGGCCGCAATTTCAGCAGGCTTAGGAGAGGAGAAAATTGAATATCATTGTTTATGTGGGTATAATCTGCTTACCAGTGTTCTACGATTATATGAAATTATATATATACCTATACCTATGTATATTATTTAAAAATGACATCAAATCCAATCAAACGCGAATGCCCAAACTGCCAAAACAGTCTTAGCCCTAACCTATCAAAACTGCCTGCATGAATAAGCAGCAAATACTTATACACACGAGGACATTAGTAGGAAACCCATGCCAATTACCGCTTACGGCCAGTACTCTCCTCGTGCACACTCGCCTTTATAACCCCACAGTCTCACAGCTTTAGCTCGATCCTCTACAACGTTGGCAAATGTTTACGGGCCGACGATATTCCGACCTCTGCCAACGGTACGGCAGGTTCCCGTGGGATTCGCGTCTGGGGATATTATTTGGTTATGTCCGGAATATGTGTGGGCGGCAAAGCCGTATTCCAGGATGTAGTAGGTATATACTAGATATTGGAAAATGGAGTGAATCCATTGTCGATGCGTTCTTCGATTTATGGCTACGTAGGAGCCTATTTTCGTCAATTCTAGTTTAACTTCATGTCATGAGTTCTATGAAAATAAGTATGAAGCATTGACAGAGAGAGATTTAAAATAGATTTCTAGGTGAATCCAGTACTAATTGTGCCCAGTCATAAACGGAAATCGGTGGGTCCGGATGCAGACAATCCAATGTCTGAATGTCAAAACTACCAGTCACATACAGTTTTCCTGTTGGAGTCGAGTCGCAGTCATCTAGACAACTATCCTTGTGCCACATACACATGTGGTTATTTTGCATTTAAGGCATCCGATTAACGGTTTTGACACTATGACTTGACCAAACTTGTGAATTTCGAAGTCTCCTTATACCAGCAGAACCTCTTATCTGCCCAGATTTCATAGATGCCTGTCTCTCCTTTTAGAATGGGACAATCGGCAGCTGTCAGAATATTGCAGACTTATTGACAACAACACCTTGAAATTCGAGGTAAACTTAGTTACTGAGTTACTTTCACGCTTTATTGATTCTTGTTCAGCCAACTGTTTTCGTTCATTTAAATATCCCTGCATCGTGTATACGCATATACGACTATGCATCAAAAGATAGTCAGGGGTGTCCAGTTTCCCGACAGTTCCTACAACCTTCTGCGTTCGTGCCATGTTGAGAGTATTTTTAGCATCAAGGGCAACCTTCACGCACAACTACATTACTCGTCATATCTTCTCGCGGCGGTCTAGAGTACCTTAGCCTTTGGGCCACAGTTACTGTGGAGTCAGTGTCTTTTTGACTTGGTGGCCTAAAGGTTAGGCAAAGTGTGAGAGAAAGGGAGCGGGACGAACGAAATGAAGAAAGTGAAAGGAAAAGGAATGGCAAATGCAACTATTTTGTATAAATATTAAAACGAGATGAGTCTGGATTGTTATGTTGTACTATGTAATTTAACTTGTTCTTTAAGATAACTCATTTTTGTTTACAGTGCGAGTTGCGGCCTGGGATATATGTGTCTTTGGTCGACTGTGTAGTCCACTGCTTCGCGCAACAAGGGGTCGCTGAGCGATTCCGCTTGCTCACATCGTTGTTGTACCATACCTATAGTGTAGTCCTTCTGCCAATTGTACCTCCGCACTAAGCTGGTCTATGGCATAGTTTCCCTTTCTACATTCATATTATGCAGGATACAGTATGCTCTTCCCCTCAAAACATTTTTGAGTGAGATTCGTTGCACAGAGGTCTACTCTCAACTTCTTTATCGGTGAGTCTAATGGTACCCATTCACATACAGTTCGCCTGCAGTTCTTGAACTGTACAACCTGAACTGAAGATTCAAACTTTCTCAGACCATACACTATTCAGTTATTTGAAACGACGCGGCCTGCAGTTTTGAGACTGACAGGTTCTTCACTGCAGGAAAACTGTGCCTTCTCCACTCACACAAACATTTTGTCAGTTCTGATCGGCCGAGAGAACAACAATGGTATTAATTAAGATGTTAAGAAAAAAAAAAGCTCGCAGCACTTCTTGTACTATTATTATTACAAGAGCCAATAACAAGGGCAAAAAAACGTTTTTGGGTGAAAGATTGGTTGTTGCAACGTGATACATTATCTCATATGACATTAGTGCGAAAGTTGAGAACCAGTGCCACAAATGACCTTAATAACTATCTCAGAATGGATGATATGTGCTTTAATGAAGTTTTATCGATGGTGAAGCCATTCATATCAAAGAAACATACAAAGATGAGGAAATCAATCACAGCCGAGGAACGATTGATAGTTACCCTTCGATATTTGGCCACAGGACGAAGTTTGGAGGATTTAAAATTCTCTGCAGTTATTTCACCTCAAGCTCTTGGAAGAATAATACCAGACACTTGTCAATGCATTTATAAGGCCTTAAAGAAAAAATATTTGAAGGTAAGTAAAAATCAACAAGTACAGATAAAAAAAACTCACTGCTTTATTATTTTTAATACAATAAGTACAAAACATGTATCTACATCAACAAGGGTTGATTTTAGTGCTCCTTTTACATGTCATTCAGTTCTTTATATAACCGTTGATTGATTTTTTTAAGTTATTTTAAAATTAATAATTCTGATAATTCTCGGTTAACATCACATGGTCGAGGCACCTGACTATCATCGTTATTGATTAATGCTGCGGAATTAGAAGGCCCTTCTAAATTGTGTTGAACTATGTGGATTGCTTGATTTTGACTCAGGCTAGTGTTTTGTCCATAGTTAGTATTGACATTTGCTTGATTTTGATTGAAACTTGTATTTTGTGTATAATTAGTATAGACATTCGGATTGTAAATTTGATGACTTAGTGAAGTGTGGGATGATTGAAAATTATTTATATCAATTAAAACATCACTATGATAATCTAATTTCTTTTGAATTCCAAAAAAAATAATTTTATTTATTAAACGTTCAGCATATGTTCTCTGGTTTTCATCCATCCTAGCTACATTATTTCCAACTATATCAAATTCATCTTGATCGTCTGAACATAGGGTTTTGCATGCTTTTTCCATTAGGTCTTCTTTTGATCTGTTTGGGTTTGTTCGATTAGTAGTAATTGTTCGATTCCTACTTTAAGTTCGGGATTGTAATTCAGCTGTTGAACATCTGCTTGCAGTTCGAGATGAGGACTCAGTTGATGGTGTAACCGGATTTTCGAGCAATAAAGAACTGCTATCTTCCATATCAGTATTATAAACAATCTGTTTTGCACCATTTTCATCCTGAAATAAAATATTGTTTTAAAAAAATTGTGGCCTACATTCATATTCTTTATTTTCAGTTTCCTGATACAGTTGAAGAATGGCAGAAAATTGCACGAGATTATAACAGTCGATGGAATTTTCCTAATTGTGGAGGCGCCATCGATGGTAAACAAGCCCGTCAACAGTGGATCGTATTACTTTAATTATAAAGAATATTTCAGTACTGTGTTAATGGCTATCGTGGATGCGAATTACGAATTTATTTATGTAAATGTTGGATGCAACGGAAGAATATCGGATGGTGGGGTCATTGAAACCACAAAATTCTATGACAAGTTGTTGGAAAAAACACTTAAATTGCCCTCCAATGAAACAACTGTTAACAAAATGAATTTTGTCTTTGTAGCAGATGATTAAACGAAAATATTTTGAAACCATTTCCAGATAGAAACCTAAGTAGAGAACAAAGAATATTCAATTATCGCCTTAGTCGAGCTCGTCACACAGTAGAAAATGCTTTTGGAATTCTATCCAATAGATTCAGAGTGTTCCATACAGCAATCCATATGAAGCCAGAAAGAGTTGACAAAATCGTATTAGCGGCAGTGGTGTTGCACAACTTTCTGAGACGACATACAAACAACTACATTCCTAAAAATTACGTTGATTTCGAAGTCTTAGATACTGGTGACGTAGTAAAAGACGATTGGCGCAATGGAATGATGCTCGATGGTTTGCAGCCCATTCTAAATCGACATTCATCCCACGAAGCTAAAGAAAACCGAGAGATGTATAAAAATTATTTTTCAGGTTTCGGAACAGTTCCCTGGCAAGAAAATTTCTCATAAAATTAATTGTATGTAAAAATAAACTGATATGTTGCTCGTGCGTTTAAACGTTTTTTTTTCCTCTTATTATACCTATGAGAAATGCCAATATCCATTTGTAAATATCCTGAAAAAAACAGTCTATGGGTAGGGCACTTTGATAAGAAAAATTTAAATACGTGTATAGGATGTGCCATTTAAAATAACAATAATTGCAATTTACCAAAACAAGTCACCCTGTATAAGTGAAAATATATTAAGCTGTAAGTATCTAATATAAAAAAACTGGTCTAAAGCATTGTCTTATTGAATTTTTTTCTGAAATAAAGTATTTTATAATAACTTTATACGGGCCACCCTATAAGGCTTAAATTTAGCAAACTTACCTGAATTTGATTTTCTTCGTCACTTTCAATATCGTTTGATAATGATACTCGAGGTTCCTCTTGGTCCGCCGTGAACATCAACAGCTCAAAATACCACAACGTAGGTACATAAATGTTATCGCAAGATTCACCGGATCGCTTAGATTTACGCACTTTTTTCAGTTCTTTACGAAAAGCACATCTTAAATTATTAATTTTGTTTAACAGTATCAACGTAGTACTGCTGCTCGATTCTGCCATTTTAACTGCAAAATGATGAAAAATCTTCCAACACGTTTGAAGTTCCCAACCGCAGATTCGAACTGTCGTCTTTACCCCACACACATCAGTCGATCGTGGGATTCATGTGATCTGCAGGCTCAGACCTGTCGGCGGCCTGTATGTGTATTGACAAAATTTAACTGAAGATATACAAATCGACAGTTCTGGGCTGCAGGCGAACTGTATGTGAATGGGTACCGTTAGAGGCTTCAGAGCAAATGTCAGACTCCACCTCATCATTCATCACATACAGCACGATCGCGGGTAGGTATTTCGTTAACCAGCACTTCAACAATCTCATTTGTTATTTCATCCAATCTCGGTGCCTTACTTGTTCAACAGCACGTGGTAGCTTCTTTCGGTACTTACGTAATTGTAATCTGTCAAAGACTCGGTCTGTGAAATTTGATTTTCTCGTAGTCATTTGCCTCCCATTTATCTAAATTTCACAATCAGCCGTTGTAATCCTTTCCTTGTGTTCTCATGCTGTTTTTTGTACTCGCTGTGGCTGTTCTAGTCTATTCTGGTGCAAAATCAGCCACGGTTATACATGTAGAGTAAAAAGGTGACTGACACTGTTTTGTAGTCGTATTCACATTACTGATTATTTAGTATTATTTGTCTCATAAAGATACGTACTGGATTGTCTTCACATCTTGGGTACTTAACAACTACGCAAGTTATGTACCTTGACTGATGTGCTGAGCCACTATTTAGCTAGCAATAGCTGTTGCTCTTTTCGTAAGTATCAAACTGTCCGCTAATAAAGCATCCTGTCGTCTTGAGGATTCTACAAACAAGAAGTCTTGTCTCCCCGAGGGAAACTGCACCGTAAGCAATTATGCCATCACGGCTCCTCGATTCCCTGGTAATAAAAAACTCCGGTATAAGAAGAAGCAAAGACGTGGTCTAATTGTTTAGTCGACGACAGCAGGACGAACGATGGGACAAGACAACAGTGGCCAACAGAAAAAGAGGATACAATGTATAATGACAAACAAAAAATTGCGTCAAGAAGGTTAACACTGCGCTTCCCACGCAACGGTGTCATCAGTTCTATGAAGATTATTTTCGGCACAATTGCTATTTGGTCACACTATAGGTAAACCCCAGCAGCAGCCAGTACGTGACAGGTTCGTCTTTCATGTTTGTTGAGCTTATTCGGCGGATACTACGGCGGAAACACATTGTTGGCTTTGCACGGGTACAGGCAAGATTTCTATCATTCTATCTTAAAGGCAAATGTGCGGAGAACCGTAAGTGTGAGATATGTCTAATGGTTGCATAAGCAGAATTACTGGAGTTAAAAGTATATAAATATCCCGACAGCAAACAGTCGAGAGATACCACACCCTTACGTCATATTTTTGTTTTAAAATTACTTCTTGTCAAGTATTCGTATTAGATTCGATCTCCTTCATCGCCAAAAACAATGTTCGAATTCTTCACCTGCTGCCGAACGTATATGAAGAAATGTTTCTTCGACCTTTAAGTCTTAATGCAAATGTAGGGGAACATTTATTTGTGAAAAATGTCAGCAGCTATTGCAAAATTTCCGAGACTGGAAGCATACCTATACATAACCTAATGCCAAACAGTTAAAATATATCCTCCCCCACCCCATTCCACCTTTCCACCAACAATTTTTTACCTCCCCAGGTACATTTCTTATATGATGTAGATGTGGAACGTCTAAAAACGTGTATTCTCCTCTGGCTTCGGAGCCACTGGACCGATTTTCAGAAACTACAAGACTTTTTTGTCGTTGGCATAGCAGGAACCTTGTGTGAAAATTTCATCAAAATCCGAACAGTACTTCCCAAATTACTAACGGTCCAAGGACTAACAAACAGACAGACGGAAATTAATAATATGGTTCTTGTTATATATCATCCAAAAATTATATCTCATTTTTGAAATTTTTCGCGATTATAATACCTCCTCGCCAGTATGCGTTGGCAGTAAAAAATAATGACCAGAAGATCGAGTCAGCTAAGTTTAGTTGGCATTTTTCATGCATTTGAGCAATCTATTTTAAAATCAAATTTGATTTGTACTATGAAGAGGGCCACCGAGGTTGACAGAGAAACATGAAGAATAAACACCATGTTTAACGTGCCGAAAGCTTTGGCACAAAGTATTTTTCGGATTTTTTTAAAGAAGAAAGTTATTTAAGCGCTAACTAGTTATCGTAAATTACAGCTCAATACTTAACTACACTGTACTATCGAATTATGTGGAGTAGCCCAATCTGCTCTACCAGATGCAAGTTTCTCCGAATGTCTCTCATGAGGTCCTGGAGGGAATTCAGATCAATTTCTCTGAGTTTTTCGTAAATTAGTCATGATCATTGTTCTTCATTTTGGGCTTCCCAGCTTCCATAATTAATCTTCCTAGAAAGTAAAACCCAAAAATCCTCTATTGGGCGAGTCTGCGGCAAGTTTGGAGGATTATCGTTTTTGGGAATAAAAGGTATGTTGTGTTGTCGAAGCCAATTTTGGGTATCTCTTGAGTAATGGAATGATGCTAGGTCTGACCAGAACATGATAAGATCATTGCATGCTGTTTGTGGACAAACTAAAGCAATTTGGAAAGGCAGTTATCAATACAGCTTCACCCCTCACTCTTCCCACAAAAGGTTGTGGTACACCCGTGTTAGAAACTACGCGCCAGACAAGCAACGAAGGAGCTGCGCTTGAGAGTATTTGGGGCACTTAAGACTATTTCGATATTTAAGACCATTTCTCCCCAACTCCAACGATATCGCATTTTTACAAGATCTGTATTGACGAGCCAGTCTCCTTGTTGATATTCAAAAATGATTTTTCGTTCTCTGACCTCTGCGCAGTAAAGGCACGTGGTCTTCCACTTTTTGTTCCATTGATGGTTTTGCCTGAAATGTTTTTGTTCTGGAATATTCAGCTTTGGGTACCCGCCCAACCAACCTGTAGATACATTTTCTTATTTCTCGTTTATACATCTCAAATCGGAAACTTCAAAATAGATGAATTTCAACTGACAGTAAAGCAAGCAAACACACTTGTGTTTCCAAAGGAAATTTAATATTATTTAAAGATATAATAAAGTCGACAATGCAGCTTCTGCATCAGAAAACATAATTTACCAGCGCATTAAAACCAAATTGGAAAAAGTCGTGCGAGCCAAATAAATTTAATGTTGAACTAAAAGCTAGGACAGTTGAACCAAAAGATGAGACGAGAGCTCGAACGAATTTAAGTATATTTTGCAGGAGCTGAGAGTGTTCTATAGGAACTTACAGAAAGGCGGTACCTCATAAGGGCAGATGAAGACTTAACACGGAGGGAAAGTAATAAATTGGAAAAGCTAATGAATTAGTTTACGTTGAAACAAATAATAGTAGAGAAGGTTAAGGCTATTACTGACAGCAACTAGGATTTGTACGATAAAGATCTTTGTCTGATCGCGGAACCAAAGACAAGATGCGATATTCCCAAGACGATCTACATAAATTACTAGAATCGGTCGCGAATAATTATTTTTTTGTGCATAGCGTTTTGCGCATCTCAGTTACTGGTCCAGAACTGTTCCATGACGGTTCTGAAAACTGGAGCCGAATACTGCTATAATTGGCGATTCGGACAAGAATGCCAAAGTACTACCTTACTATCATGGATAGTATGACGGAGGATGGAACGAATACAATTCATCTATGTTCTCGCAAAATGAACTCACACAAACGAAATACATATTTGAAAGGCATATAAGTTATTTATTAGAAAAAATATTGCAAAAAATTGGCGAAGGGTGAGTAATAGTTTTGCATAGAAGTTTATTCTATGGAGAAATGCGAAAAAAGTTTTCCAACCTGTGGCCCATTGTGCTGCGAACATCTTCAAAGAATTGTGACGTCAGAATAAATTGATGCTGTCATGGATATGGTAGGGATAGTGATCACAAGTTTAGTGCATTCTAATCTCCTATCAGCGTTCTTAATGGCCAGCGGGACATAAATTCCTGAACAGATAGCGACAAGCGAAGAGAAGCGGTGATCGGGTGCTCATGTTTGCCTGACGCAGAGTAAATGAGGTTTAGATAAACTTCAGTAACTATTTCTTCGATATCAAAAAAAAAATAAAACAAAGTTTTACTCTCGATACGTGTCAGAAAAGCTATAAGGTAGTAAATATCCGATCAGTTCGGAGCCCTGAATTCTCACATCTAATATAACTGAATCTATAACGTAGAACATACAAACCCCAAAATTGTCTCCGGCAGCGAGAAGCCGTGGCATATCAGGCTGCATTGAGAAAACAACTGCGGGACGTGAGATAATTATGAAAACGGGACCGTAAGTCAACAGTGCCTCGAAGAGAGCATGTGCGTCCTGCTTAGGATTCCTGAAGGGAAGAAATTGTAAAATGAGGGTATTCATCTTGAATAAAAATCGATAACGTTAATACACCTAATTTCTTGTTCAAAGATATTATCTGGGATCGTACATCTGCCTGCCTACTCGCTTGTGAATTTCTTGGATACTCTAGTGGTAAAGTAGCGAAATATTTGGACAAGACTTTAGGTTTTTTTTTATTTAATTATCCGCTTCGACCTAAAGACCATTAGCGGTAGGGCTTAGATACTATACTTTATATAATATATTAGTTTGCTGTAGGAAAACATTCCACTCTAAAGTGTTCTACTTTTACTATGATCATATAAGTCTGTAACAATAGATCGCTGATCATATTATTTATTCGTTTTTGAGCCGTTCAAAGAGCTTAAGTCCATATTAACCAAATAATAGGATGTACGCTTGATTCAGTTTTTAAAACTTTAGTGGATATTATTATTACTATGATTATTATATGATTTATTTCTCAGATGGGCTAACTTGTGCTAAATGTAATCGTGTATGATCTGATGACAGCGACATACTAAAAGTATCAGGCAAATAAAACCTTATTTATTAAAATAGCTTTGATGGGAAGTTGATGAATCAGTTGTT